GTACACATTTCCTTTCCATGGACAGAATAGATGTACGGTTTGATGTTCCTGAGGATATTGAGAGAGAAAATAAAAAGAAAAACAATGGAGAATGCATAGTCATGGCAACAAAAGGTGGACAAGGAACTGAAAACCTCACCATGACTTCGGGATTTCATCATTCTGGTTGATACATATGATGAATGTGTCCACAAAATTGAACCATTGGTTTAGATTTGGCAATGGAATCTGTTAATGACAATGAGGGGGAAGAGGGAGGAGGAGGGGAGGGAGGAGGAGGAGGAGGAGGAGGAGGGAGGAGGGGGAGGAGGAGGAGGAGGAAGGAGGAGGAGGAGGGAGGAGGAGGAGGAGGAGGAGAGGAGGAGAAGGAGGAGGAAGGAGGAGGAGAGAGGAGGAGAGGAGGAGGAGGAGGAGGAGGAGGAGGAGGAGAGGAGGAGGAGGAGAAAGGAGGAGGAAGAGGAGGAAGAGGAGGAGGAAGAGGAGTAGGAGGGGAGAGGAGAGGAGAGGAGAGGAGAGGAGGGGAGGGGAGGGGAGGGGAGGAGAGGAGAGGAGAGGAGAGGAGAGGAGAGGAGAGGAGAGGAGAGGAGAGGAGAGGAGAGGAGAGGAGAGGAGAGGGGAGGGGAGGGGAGGGGAGGAGAGGAGAGGAGAGGAGAGGAGAGGAGAGGAGGAAGAGGAGGAATCGGTTATCATATGTGTCCTCACTCAATAAAAAGCAAGAGGTTAATACCTTTATGAAGAACTTTCATGTGAATAATACTTCTAGTGCAAATATCCCCTCCCACTTTTTATTTTTCCTCTATCAGTAGAGGGTGTTGTCTGCAAGCACACCCTTTTGCACCCCAAATAAACTTCAGTCAATTTTGTAGTTTTAACACTAATCACATGCACAGTTTATCAGGCTCGGGAAAAGGGCTGTACTGCACTGCTCTCTTGCACTAAGAGAAGGTACCCACAGCATTATCAAATGAAGATGAAATAATTATGCCAGAATATTCCCAAGGGTTGTCCCTTAGGAATCAGAAAATGTGGCAACCCTTTGGACAAACTCTCTTACTCACCTATCCAGCATACTATACCAATATCGGATGTCCCATTTGGCTATTCATCATTAGCAGATGAGAAGTGTATTTGTAATTGTAACTGGTTCAACCTGGGCTTCACCTGAATGAAGAACTGTAATGCATTTAATCGTACTTAGAATAATGTAATATATTGGACCTAGTCGTGGATGGCACGTGTTCACACCCCATTCAAGGAACAAGAAATTTCCTCAGTTCAGAAAAAAAAAAAAAACTTCACTCTCGAAAAGTTCTCACTCCATTCTTGGAACCAAAAGCAAAATTTCTCAACTCCAACAAAGATCCATAAACCCCTTCATGCATAGTCTGGCAAGACAGAGCTTGTAGACAATTCTGGAAAATTCTAGTCAAATGTGGAACCTCTTTTTGCTCTCTTTTGAAAGAATGAATGCAAAAGAAGTATACAAGCCTTTGGCAGAATACAGTGGCAGTTCTGAATAATTAAAACTAAAACCCAAAGTAGTTTTTGTAATAATGATAATGAAAATGATATTGACAATGATAATAATAACCATCATCATCATTATTATTATTATCACTTATAACATAATCATAATATCAATGATAATGATGATTATTATAACAACAATAACATTGATAATGATCACTATGATCATTATAATTGTAGGTATCAATACAAGTAGCAATGTCACTATTATTGTTGTTGTTATCATCATCATCACTATCATCATTATTTCATCACTATCATTATAGTCATTATTATCATATCATTATAGTCATGATTATCATATCATTATTATTATCGTTTTCACTATCATTTTCATCATTATCAATATCAATATTTTTAGAGTACCACAATCATCGTCAATGTTACTGGTATTGATATCATAATTATACTATTATCACTACTGTTAAAATAAATGTTACTATTATTGTTAATATTGTAACATTACAGTTATTGTTATTAATAAAATCATTATTACATTATTACATTATCATTACTTTTACTATCATTTTTTTAGTTTTATCATAATCATTATCATCATCATTATCATTATCATAATCACCATTACCATAACCATTATGAAGACATTGACTATCAGAATTATTATCAATGCCATCCATAATATTAATATCAATATCATTCATGTCATTAGTCACATCAGGTGTTATACCAGAGAGCACTCTATATTTCCTCCAGAAAAAGTAAATGTTTTACATATAAGATACAAGAAAGTATCAAAAGCACTGTCTCTCATGATACTACATGAAACTTTTACAAGCAGAGAGAAGGCTTGACTTGGATAGTTAGGCCTATCTTTAGGCTGGGTTATTTTTAGCTAAGATTCTGGTTAAGTTAAGCACAAGTACAGTTCATTTATCAGAGCTGCATTACATGAAAAGAGGAAAAGTAATAGTAATAGATCTGTCATAAAGAACATATATATTAACCCCCCCAA